GCATCAACAGAATAAGAACAAGCAGTTATGAAGGACCATAGCATCAACAGATCTTCACAAGGACATTCAGACTCTTCTGTTTTGGAATTGATAATTGTTTCTATTATAAAAAGCTATACTGTATACATTTTCAGCTTAAATAGAAAGAGAAAAGATATAGAGGAATTTCAATCCCGCAATATGGCTGCTCTGGCAAAAGATTATATCCAAAAACCTTCTAGGCTCACGTGATCTAGATGAAATACAGACACACCTTTAGTCCCAGGATACAGAGGCAAGCAGATCTCTGAGTTCAAGGCCAGGTTGGTGTAGAGAAAGTTTTATGTAAAGAAAAGCTTAGCTTCAATCATAGTGGTACATATTAGTCACCATTTTAAAAGTTTCTTAAGGGTAAATGTCAAACAATAATCTAATATTACAAGAGGAATTTAGAGTCAGCAGGACTGGAGTTTGTTCCTTACATTTTGTTTTGTTTTGACCAACTGCATAGTTTTAGAAAATGTAACATCCTACCTGGTTACTCTAATGATTAATTATCCTAACACAGTGTTCTCACTGACAAATATCCATTATTGATGAGAAATACTGACTAGCTCTGGATTAGTCTTTTTTTAATTGTAGAATTTAACTAACATGTTTCCACTCACTTTGTTTGGCTCAACTGCTAATGAGGAAGTCTAGGTTTTATGAATTCCCTGACACCCACGATTCAGTGCAAAATTCTCATGTAGGCACATTCTGCCTCCACTGATGGGTCCCAGAGGTGCCTTTCCTTCAGGGCCTATTGGTGACTCATTTCTAATGGTTATAAAATGAGCACAACCCGCTTCTTCTTTCTTCTTTAATATTGTTTCTTAGTAATGGCTGATTGAGAAATTTACTTTAACTGCTGAGATAAGTAGCTTCTGCAGTATTCTTTGTCCCTATCACTGGCTAACAGTGATCTTTATTTTAGTGGAAATGGTATTAACGTAGATTTGTGAATTGAAAGACTACATTCTGGATTCTGTCACTCTAAATGTTTAATGTAGTCATCTAGGTGGCCTCAATGAATATATTTTAGAAATCTGGACAGAGAAAGTAAGTATAGAGCATTACATTTAGGATCTTGTTTTAGATTCCATTGCCTCTTATACTCTCACAGAAGTCTTATTAATAAGGCTATACTGGAAAGATATATGATAATTAACTTGAATGAAAATTCAAAATAACATCATACTAAGCATCTTCATAAATTAGTCCAAAAGCAATCTTCTTACATGTAAGATACTTTCTACTATGAACAGAAAAGGTGACTAAACAGGCATAGCATCTATATTGTATTATCCTTGTTTATTCATTCATAAGGTACCTCCTAAATATCTAGCACACAAGGTGCTCTTCTACTAGCTGAAAATCAATCACAAACAAGATAAAAATATTTCTACCTCTCGTGGTATTTTTACTTGAATGCATTTGATTACCTACACAATATAATGGGAGAGTTTGTTTGATTTTGTGTTTCGTTTTAAGTAAAATAAGCAGAGATGGAAAGTGAAGCTTGAACAAAGCTCTGATCTCTGGATGATGTTAAGAATAACTATGACAAATCTGTTGGAAAGAATTACTGGCAGAGAAAACAGCAAGGGTAAAATGTCAATAGAGGAAAGCAAATTAGCTTTTTTATAAAACGGTGGAGCATTAAGTGTGAATGGAACAGAATGAGTACATGAGTGGTAGAATCACAGCAGAAAGGAGTAGAGTAGTTCTGAGATATGCGTCTTGACAAGTAACTTGAACATTTGTCTAATACAGTGGAACTGGAGGTTTTAAGCAAATGAGTAAATTACCGATAAAAGAAAAACAGACTAGTTAAAATAAAAAGAGAAAAAAATAGAGTTATAATGGCCTCTAGCCTAAAAGTAATGTACTAAATGCATTGCCTTAGATTTCCAGTAAGGAGAGGACCTAATGAGCAAAATGTAAACAATTTCAGTTTAAAACTATATTTGAGCCCAAAATATCCCTACACAAATTTGCACAACTCACTCTGTAGACCAGGCTGGCCTCGAACTCAGAAATCCACCTGCCTCTGCCTCCCAAGTGCTGGGATTAAAATCGTGCACCACCACTGCCCAGCTAGTTAATTTCTAACTACAATAATTTAAAATATGTGCATCTTTACCATGCATAGACTCTGCAAACTTAAAACTTAATCAAGAAACTTTACAGACTCAGGAACAGAACAAGTGTGGACAAGCACTAACTTTAGTCTGTAGACTTCCACTAGCTGAAACAGTACATAATGAAAAAATAAAACCTTCCAAATGAAACCATTGGAATGTAGGAGGATATTTTGGAAGCCATAAAAGCAAGAGGTCCTATTCCAAAACTAATTGATAGGAAAATTACAAAGCCAAAAGCAACATGGGACAAATGCAATTAGAATGAATTTGTTAAAATAATAAACTTTAGAAAAACAACAGTCGATCTATCAGACACACCTTGCTTTAATGTATTTGCTACATCTGGATATCCTGTAAAATCTTGGCACACTTCATAAAATTATTGTTACTAACTAATGTTGCTAAGGTGCCTGCCAAATGTCCTTTGGGAACCAGAAATATAAATCTTTGCTGCCAGAGAGATATAATTGTGTTTAAAAGAAGAATCAACAACACAAAAATACATGGCGGTTATCGACACTGAACTGAATACGCCAACAAGTACCCACATGACTTTTATCAGGACAAGTTTAGTAACCTCTAACTCAGCACCTTGAGTAACTTATGAGAAGATGACAAATTATCAGTAAGTATGAAAATTCTCAGGCCATAAGGAACATTTAGCATGGATATCCCAGATAACGAGACCTCAAAAACTTCATAGTAAATGTAAGTGAATAATTATTGTAATGGTTTAGAGTACTAATTTGACATCTTAAAATACTGGGAGGCTGTGGAGAGTGAGCATTCTGAAAAAGAATTTTAATCGAAAGAGATCTGGTTATAGAATTGAAACCATATTTTCTAAACCTGCTTTGCACCACAAATGATTCAATATTTTCCAAACTTTCTGATCAAATGTGCTTATTTTCCCCACTGGTTTTAAAAAATTAGCAAATGTCATTAGGCACACTTGGAATATGATAACGGGGATTTTTCTGCTGCAGAAATGTTGGAAAGCCCCGTTTGAAACCATCCCAAACAGATGGCTCCACTCAGCTACCCTCTCCTACAGTTACTTCCTCATTACAGAGTACTAACAAGACATTAATTATGCGTTTAGAAATCTTTTACATGGCAAAAAAAAAAATGTGTTGCTGTTTCGTTAGTCCTACCACGAACTCACGAAACCTTTTTTTGGACACACAACCTCTCTTTAACAATAGAAGCAGAGGGCAAACGTGTGAAGCCCTGACAGCTAGCAGCCTGTCTATCCCTCGGGCTGGGATCTGAGAGCGCGCTGTGTATGACGGGAACAGGCGGCGGGGATTATGGGAAATGTAGTCTGGCGACACCGCCCTGCTCTCCATTCCTGTAATGGCTGCTTTCGGTTAGGTAAGGTACAAACTCCGCTCCCCGGGACTCCAGGATTGATTCTCCGGGTGTAGTTAGTTGCACAACGCAACAAATTTGCACCCTCCCAGGGCGAAGGAATTCCAGATCTTTATGTCAAATCTTGGGATGAATTTACTTCTCGGCTTGGTTTCGTTTAGCAATCTGTGAATGAGAACTAACTTTAAATCTAGTAGTCTCTTTTTCAAACGAGCTGTTAGGGAGTGTTTTCTGTACTCGTTACCAATTTCTGTCCTTGCTGTTCGTTCCTCACTGACTCTAGCTTCCTCTTTAAAAATAGGCTGTGTCACGAGTAACCTCTTAGCCTCAGCATCCGGAAGTTCCAAAGAGAATATTTCACGTTGGATAGAATTTTACATATACCATTGTTTCGGTAAGCCTTATTAATTCCTTACAACTTTACAGAGTCACGTGTTGTGTCGTTTGACTTTTGCCAGATTTACCTGCATTTTCTAGATAGGAGACATGCTAAGAAAATGTAACTTTTACTTGTTAGGGTATTTTGAGTTTGCAAGTATCTTGTGCATTTTTCCCTCTCTTTTCTAATGATGTACAGCTATCCAGTTTCAGTTTGGTCAATGAATACACTTTTGGAATTCGTATTGAAATTGCCGGTGCGAGGGTGTTGTCATGAATTTAAACTGAAATGACTGTCTTTAGTTTTGTCATCTTAAACTGACATCTGAAATGATTGACAAGCTCCAGTCTTTATAAAAGATTGTTGTATATTTATATTGTCATTTTTAAAAGTAAGGCTTTTATTTTTAACAGTTTCTTTTGTTCCGTGTTTCATTTCTAGGCAGGTTCAGCCCTTCAGATCCTAACATCATGAATTCAGTTTCAACACAATTGATCTTAGTTCTCACTTCGCTGCTTTTGATCCTGCCTGTTGTTGAAGCAGTGGAAGCTGGAGATGCAATCGCACTCTTATTAGGTGTGGTTCTCAGTATTACAGGCATCTGTGCTTGCTTGGGGATATATGCAAGAAAGCGAAACGGACAGATATGACTTTGAAGGACTCTTCTGAATTAGACTTCACCCTGACCATTGTACTGAAAACCATTGTGCTGTTGAGGCCGAACCCAAGATTTGATCTCTCCTCTTTTCAGCAAGAGGGTTACAGTTAACTGAGAGTTAACACCCTCAGTTAAGACGATGCTTTCGTGTTCATATTTGTTTCTCCTATGATGGAAGCAGATGTGGGTGGAGGGAGGCTCTTAACAACAAAGAGTACGCTAATAATGTGGCCCATATTTTGTATTTGCTGCTTGGGAAGGGGCCAAAGTGAGAGGGCTTAAGTTTGCATAAGTATTATTTCATACTTTCAAATTGTCAAAGCACATGAAATAGGAAGATGGAAGTATTTGCTCAGAATCTAGTAAATCTACATTGTTATAATCACTGCCTCTTGCATTCTGGGGGAATCTCTCTCTCTCTCTCTCTCTCTCTCTCTCTCTCTCAGTTGGTGGGTTGGGTTTTGGATTTAGGTTTTTTTGTTGTTACTGATTTTTTTTTAATGCTTCAATTTTTATTTCCTTAGTTGATATTGTACTTAGATGTTAACAACCAAAAACTTTTATCTCTGAGAAAAAAGTTTAATAAAATTGTACTAAACATATCTAATACTAAAATAGAGGGAATGTTTGTTAAAAAAATAACTTTACACTAATTGAGTATTTTCTCCTTTGTGAGATGTATTGTATCAAATACATAGCCATTATGTCATCAGTTCACCTATTGTTTTGGTCTGCTTGTATCTACATGTGAACTAGTTATTTATAATCTGAGTGAAGAGGAACTGGTTGTGTTACCTTAAAGGATCACAGTGGGCGAGAAATGGGCATCTTTGGGATAGAAGAGGCCTCTGATAGAAAACCCACAAATAGGAAAGGAAGTGTATTGTCCTGCTTTGATTTATACACCAGTTAAAAAAGCATACCTCTTTGCCCTAGTATTCAAAGAGTCCCAAAACCAATAGATGACAGAGATTTTTAATTCACATTGTTGGGCCTGGGACACATATTTTGGTTAGAATTTATATTTTGAATGTTAATAGTTTCAAGAAAAACTACTCAAACTGTTAGTACACAAGAATCACTTCAGATCCTTATGGTCCAGACAAAATTTTTAATTCCTAAGTTTCTGTCTGTATTGCATAGTAGTAGAGAAAGTGGGGCCTGAAGATTCATGCTTGGGAAGGATCTTCAGATCTTTATTTGATTCTGAAGATTTGGCCAGAATGAAATAGTCTGGGTAAGTCAAACTAATCTCTGTTTTCAATGAAGGTAGATAATCAAGTTGTTCCCAGCATGCATCGTCCAACCTCTCACTCTCCAAATAACCTTAAAAGTCTTGACTTTTGTCAGGAAGCAAGCTGTGGCCTGCCTGAGAGTTCTGGCTAACAGTAAAAAGTAGTAACAAATGCTCACATTATAAAGACGTGGAAACCAAATGGGTTTATTGGTTTTTGAAGGTATTTTATCTTTTCACCAGAAAAGACACTAACAGTCTTTGGGTAAATTGGCGTTTAATAAAACGTGTCCATGCATGCTTAGGAAGGAATACATAGGTGGCCTGACAGCTGTCATCTTTTGTCCACCAGCTCGTTGGAGCAGATTTAGGGAGGCTGCCTTCTCTTCCTTGCCAGTCCCAACTTTTCCTCTGGGATGAGAAAAAATCTAATGTAAAGCACATTGTAGGTCAGAGTCACCTCCAGGTACTATTTTTAGACTATTCAAAAAAATACTACAGGAAAACAGTCTTTACTGACTGTGTGATTCCACAAGTACTCCAAAGAATGTTTTTAAAGACTGACATTTTCTATTTTATCTATAAAAGCAGAAGTAGAGAGGAATGCTTTCTAAAAATAGCTTCACTGGGCCAAGCAGATGACTCAGTGGATAAAGATGCTTCCATTCATTGGTGACCTACCTGAGCTAGATCCTCGGAATCCACACCATGGAAGGAAAGAACCAACTCCCACACCATGACCACCATATGTGTTCCCAGCCTCTGACATATACACTAAGTAATTAGTGCTTAATATAATTAAAAGCAGGGGGCAGAGGGAGCTTCATTTCTTACTTAGACTACAAGGTTTTGCTTAAACACAGAAACGTGGGCTGAGGAGATGGCTCCATTGATAACAATGCTTCCTGTACAAGCATGAAGACCTAACACCCATATAAAGACCTGGGCAATAGCACATGGGTAAAATCTCTACCTCAGGGATAGAGACAGGTATATCCCTGGGACTTCCCGCCCAGCCTTTAGCCACTACATTGAGTTCCCAGGCTCAGGGAGAGGCCCTGCTCTCAAAAGTAAATCTGACTGAAGAAAAGGTCCAGTGCTCTGTCCTCCATATGCACACACTCACATAACACACACACACACACAAACACACAGTCGTGTGGCAGATCTTAACCATCAGCTCCTGTGAGAATCTGATAAGTGTCTTTGATTTATTTTTTTCCTAACTAAATATACATGCTCACATTTTCAGATTAGTTTCACAAAATTTGCAGAGCTAAACCCCATCTAGGAATCGACAGTTACAATTTTCTGGTTTGCCTGTTCATTTGTTCTCAAGTTCAAATTCTTTCCGTAGCACAGTTCATTACATTGCTAGGAGAGAGAACACCTGTAGGATTGACAGGTGTCCCTTGGGTGCCTGGAACAGTGTCTGATGTATGATAAGTGTTTTGCTAGTTAGAAGAGTTGAGTTTAGTTTTTAAAAGGAGAAAGAATAAATGAATTTAAGGTCTGTGTCAATATTTTTTATTTCTACCTCACAACTTTCAGGACTTTAACTTTACTCTTCAGAAGGTGGGATGTACTCTGTCTTGGCCTGGCGATCTTTAGTTTATTCTAGGTAGGATTTTCTAGCTCTTAAATTTGGAAGATTACATTTTCCCCCAAATTTAGGGAAGTTTTTTTCCATTATTTCTTCAAATACTTTCTCAGCCTGACCATTTCTGCTTTTATGTTAGGACTCCAATGACCCAAAAGTAGATAGTTTGCTATATACCTAACAGTTAATTAGCCTATTTTTTTTTTTACTCAGATTGTGTAATTTCTAGTGCTCTAGCCTCAGATTCACTAATACTACTGTTGTATTTTTTTAACTTAAAAATGTATCATTTCCTTTTTCTTTTTATCTTCTGCTCAATTGCTAAGAGACCATACATTTGTTTCAAGCGTGTCATTGAGTGGTCACTGAAGTACCTTCTTAGTGACTGCTTCAGTATCAGCGTCACATGATACTAACATTTCTCTTATGTGAGTGATAAGTATTTAATGTGCTTAACAGTAGCATGATAAATGATTAGCAGTAATGACTTAGACCATTTAAGATGGGACATGGAATTTGTTTTGGCCTGTTCAGAAGAATAGGTCCTGCCTATTCATAGGTCTGCCTGTTCATGGTCCACCAAGAAAAATGCTTGATTCTCAAATCATTGAAGGCCATAAAGACATAAGCAAACTGGGGCTAGGGACAGGGCTCACCAACTAAGAGCACTTAACTGTTCTTCAGAGAACCTAGGTTCAAATCCTAGCACCCATATCATGACTCACAGCCATCTGTAATTCCAGTTCCATGGAGTTGTGTCTTCATTCAGCCTCTAAGGTATACATGCATGAGGTGCATAGACATTCACACAGGCAAAACACCTGTACACATAAGATAAAAAAAATTTAAAGAAATATTAAGCAAACTAAAAGTAAATGTATGTTTCCCATGATCATGAGTAGAAAAGAATCTCCTAGCTTGATTGACTACCCTTAACATGATTTGCACACCCCAGATTTCCCAGGAACTAAACCACCAACCAAAGAGTACACATGGAGGGACCCATGGCTCCAGCTGCATATGTAGCAGACAACTGCCTTATCTAACATCAGTGGGAGGGGAGGTCCTTGGTCCAGTGGCAGCTCAATGATCCAGTATACGGGAATACTAGGGCAGTGAGGTAGGAGTTAGGGGAAACACTCTCATAGAAACAGGGGGAGTAGAAATAGGATAGGTGGGTTCCAGAGGAAACCATAAAGAGCGATAACATTTGAAATGTAAATAAATAAAATAACCAATAAAAAATTGTAATTTTTTTAAAAATTAAAGATAAATAAAAAAGAAAACAGAATGAAACCTATAAATATTTGCAGGATAGTACATTTAGGTTTTCTAATTTTTAACAACTTCATTTATCTAAACATTTTCTGCAGAAAAGCATAATTGCTATACAAATGACATTCACTTTCTCACTGGCGAAGTATAAGCTCCAGTGCTCATTTTTGCTGGGTATTATTTATGAATGATTGAAAATATTAGTTGATTCTTCACAATCTGAATAAAATGTGGTAAAATGTTATAGGCAAGAAGGTTAAGTATTTGTAAAGGGCTAATCACGAAGCACTTTGTTAAACACTGGGATTATAAATACTCTCTTTCACAATGTTAGTCAAGATAATTATGTTCTAGTTAAATGTGCATAAATCACTTAGCAAAAGAACTTAGAAAGCATATTCACCAAGAATGGAAACTATATCATATTTTATTTCATGCAATTTCACTTCAGAGCATTTGAAACCAATGTAAAACAATTTTATGAGTCTTGATATGTTATGTGCTCCACTTCTTTGCATAATACTTTAACAGACAACACCTCTCAAGCCTCAACAGTGAGGTCTTTAGTTTGTTTGTTTGTTTGGTTGGTTGGTTGGTTGGTTGGTTGGTTAGTTGGTTGGCTGGTTTGGTTTGGTTGGTTGGTTGCCTAAATTATGTCAGAAGTCTCTACAAGGGTTCCTTGTAGCAGGATTTCGTGGCTTCATAGTATTTCTCTGTAAAAATAGTAAGGATTACGATTGTGCTGACAGTATTGCAATGACCCATTTTCAGTCAGAAACAATGAGGACTGGATTCCATCTTCCAACTCCTCACTAACAATAGCAGTTTAGGCTCCATTCTCCATTCTCACCATCAACTAGAGTGGTAAACACTGAAAGACTCCTTATTCCTGAGTGTTGCTAGGCCTATATTAGTCAGTCACCTTGGGGGCTGTTGGCTTTGAGTGGGAGTGGCTGAGCAATGGCTTGTTTTCATTCTTGCTTCTTGAGATAACCCCTAATAAAGTTCATTCAGTTCAAAAAAGGAGCTGCCCGACACTACGGAACTGAATCCAAAAATCTACCAAAGGACTAAACTGCCATTGTGGTATGTGTCAAACTTGGCTAACACATCTTCCCAGTGGCTAAGGCAGACAGTTGATGGGATGAGACACACCTTTTCCTCCCCTATTCTAAACACCACCTATCACTAAATGCTATGCACTCACCTTCAAAATTTCCCTAGTATCTGTCCATTTCCATCCCAGTGGTTTTACCCAGTTCAGTTAAGAGTGTTATGATGACATGGATGAAATCAACTGCACCTCCTAGCTGGTCTTCTGACTTCTCATCTTACTCCTCTGCAACGTTGTCCAAGCTCAACTATAATAAACTTTTAAGAAATGGAGTCTCCATTGCAATGGCCATTTGCCAGTGAAGAGGTGTGGACAGGGGTATGCCTACCCTATGCTCTGGGACACTGACACACTACAGCTTCCATGACAAGATGTTTTTTATGCATTGTTTTGGTTTTTTATTTTGTTTGGGGCTTTGCTATTGTTTGCTTGTTTGCTCGTGTGTGTGTGTGTGTGTGTGTGTGTGTGTGTGTTCTTTTTTGGGGGAGCTTGCA